GCTTTTTTCTTTTAGGTTATGATGAGTCAAAGCACCATTCTGTGAGTTATCAAGGTTTTGTTTAATATTTGTGGGAAGGGTGAGGATTATTAGTAGTTTTGCCTCAAGGAAACCATCATGAGAATTAGTTCCAACTGGTTCCCTGTGTTGATTTGTGTGCTCTTCAACTCACTCCAAATCAATATGAAAAGGGGGATCATTTCTTGGTCTATACTTGGGAAATAAGGAAACCTAGAACTAGCCCATACCTCAGGAAAACTCCTGGAAGTAAAATAACTACATTTAATCATTTTCAATCCTCTCCTCTTTTCCACGAAAAGCTGTAACTTTCCCTACTTCTCCAAACATCTTTTTTTTTTTCCATTTCTGTGAATTCAATGGCCACCCCAACCCCTCAAATGTTAATTCTTTTCCATCAGATCCCTGCTGAGTAAAAGATCCATGTTCCCTGGAAATCTCTTTGATGCATGAAAGGGTCTTCAAACTTATCAACCCATTTTAAACTAAATTAGTTTTCCACTCCCCAAACCCACTCCTCCTCCTTAAGACACAACTTCATTCCTCCTTCACTCATGCCATGTATCAGTCACCCAATCTTTTATTCTACCTCCATTCTTTTTGATGCCTCCATTCCCTTCCCAGGAACCCAGTGGTGCTCGTTCTGCTGCTCTTGCCAAAAATGAGCACAAGCATCATAGTTTGCAGCACGTGTTGAGCACTGAGGATGTGTCGGACATGGTGCTAAGCACTCTATATGTGCGACTTTGTTGAATTCTTACTACACTCTTATGAGAGGTACTGCTACTCCTCCTAGTTACCACTAAGGATGTGGAAACGGTATCCCAGGTTACAGAGCTAGTACGTGGCAGGAAGAGAGTGTAAATCTAGTTAGAAGCCAGTGCTCTGACCTACGTTTTCCAGCTTGGCAAATTCAACATTTCAAGGCTGAGTTGAATGTGTTTATTCTTTAATGGAAGCCTTCCCATTCTCTCCTATGCTACCAGGATTTTCCATTCACATTTGTTACAGTACACATTATTATTTGTGCATGGGTCCATGTATTATTTCCTTCAACAAATATATTTTGAGAACATACTCTGTCAGACATAGTGCTTGACACAGGTTATCAGCAATACGCAAGCCTGGATCTGGCCTCCTAGAGACCAGTGAGAAAGAGATACTTTAAACAAATAGCCACACAAATATACCACCGAATCCCAGATGATAACTGCTGTAGAGAAAAACTCCAGATGCTGGTGACGGTTTATCTGCAGGCATCAGATGGGTGCCATTCAAGCCACAACTTCAGCATTTTCCTCTCCCCACCACCAGCTTGTTCCCTATATTGGTACGCAGTTGTAGTTGCACTAATAAATTATAGGAGCTGTCTAGGTTAGAAATCAGGTTTCAAATCGCAAGTTGAAATCAACCTTGTAGAAATGGAATGGTAAAACTTTTTGGCAAGAGTTGCAGGGGCAAAAAGACAAATATGAATGAAAACGACTAGATTTGACAAAAGGCAAGGTTGTCTCAATGTAAATCCCTCAGTTTAGGAGCACACTGGTTCTATTTGATATAGTATGAGTTTGACAGAGTGCAGAACATAATGAAAGGCTCTATTTACTCAAAGTTTTGCTGGAAGGGAGAGGTTGAGTGAGGGCCTAGAAGGATAAATTGACACTTAAGAGTTCTTGTAACTGCTTGTTGATATATTCTGTTTACCTCTTTTACATCTGCTGAGTGCAATAAATTTAACAAGTGGTTATTTACAAAAACCTATTCAAATTGAAGTCCCCAAATATGATATTTTCGATCTCAAATTTCATGTAAGGTGCTCGCAAATGTATTTCCTGCTATAAAACAGCTGTGATATTTTCAAGCAATCTTAACCTTGTATGTTAAGTGTTTCTGAATTGACAGCAGAAGCCAGAATAAATGTTCAAAAAGTGACATCTTGGATCAAGATTGTAACTCAATGATTCAAAAAGAATAATATACATTACAAGGGTTTTATCAATAGATACAAAACCCACTTTAGGCTGTAAATACATTATAAAGAGATTTTAAATTGTTCAGACATGTTACACATTATTAGTAACATTTTTTTTCTATTTCCTTTGCCTTATGGCTCAATTTCTTGCATTTGAGTACTTAAATTCACCCCTCTAAAAGTTATGATAAATTACACCAATTTGGAAGTGGGTTCTGTTATTGGGGAAATGGAATTAAAAAAAAATACAGCAAACCTAACAATTATCCATCTGTTCACCACAAAGAGTGAAGATATTAGTCTCAAGTTTAGGGTGCTTCTGTAATCATGAATGTCACAGTTGGTTTGCTGGAGTATCTATGTCCTCATTCATAATATCCAGGTAGTTATAATAGACAGGTAGAAGCATGTAAGTCAGGTAGCTAATGTTAATGTAAGAGCGTGGAGTTTCATGATGAAAAATGCTATATAAACATTATCCTAAACAGTGAAAATCATTGCTTCAGGGATTGTTTGAATTATCCCTAGATCTTTGTACAGTATAGGACAGAGGGATTATTTATCTTTTCTATTATAGATCTTCTCTTCTACAAGAAGAATAACAACCAAAGTCATCCTTTAATTCTGTAGTAACTTTATATTTCTTTAAAGTTGCTTAACAGTTACATTTTATATTGAGATTTTCATCCCTCACCCATTCCTACCAATTTTAACTGCTTCATAAATCAATAACACTTATTTTGTATCAAATTCCTCCTCTTCCCAAAGCAAATTTCCTTCTCCTTTGCTCATCAAATGTAAAAAAAACCAAGCTTGTTAGATTTGAGAGCTTGATCCATTTGCCCCGTACATCTCTTCTTACCTACAATCCAATTGGTAGACACTGGAGGAAGCCTGACATTGGAAAATGTTATCAGGGAGCCCTTGGTTCACTCAGAATTACATAAATATTATATTTTTCGAATTGTCCATATTTCACTCTCAATACACATGCATTGTGATAAATTATGCTCAACACACAAAAAAATTTTGTGCTTTTGGATGAAATGAGACCTATAACATTTTACCATTGCTATAAATGAACTTTAAATTACACCTCTTTTTACCCATTTCATAAGAACAATAAAGTTTAAAATTGTTTTCACTTTGAGTCAATTATATATACACACTTTAATTAACACAAAATTCCAGAATAGTATAGTCTGAGTTTATGTATGTTTATATGTAAATATATATTAACTATCTTAATATATAAATTATATAAACATATATATAAAATATATGTATAATATATAATTCTAAACATCATTTAGGAAACAATAAAATATCTGAAGTTATGGAATAACAAGTCCTCCTAAAACTAGTAATTTCTAATAACATCAATAACATATAATTGGAATAAAAATAACGTAAAATAACCAAAAAATATAGAGTCAAATAAAAGCATTTTATTGCTAAGTTAGCATTCAAAATCACTGTGAAGATATTATTTTAGTTACACAATTTTGTAACCTCAAAAATGCATTTTTTAGAGAAGAAAAAAATGTTTTTCTGATAAGTTATGCCTTAAAGAGACTAGCTTGCACAAAAATAGTACATTAAAAAAATAATTAACTATGAGAGTCAAGCAGTTTCAAAGACCAATCAATACTCATTAAGAGGGTTGGACTAACCTAATCGAGCTCATCATTGCAATGGTGGAGGAAACACTTGGCTTAACCATGGTCCCCTCAAAGTTACAGAATGAATAATGTGGCAACCACTGCTTCCAAGACACAAACACGGGTAAAAACTTACCTTAAATGGAGATGACTTCAAACAGCCTTTGAAACCACTTCATCCTGCCATTCTGCTGTAATGACAAGGATGAAAACTACTGCCACAGGCCTCAACATTTGTCCGCTTCATTTACTGCAAAGGTTCCCAATTCTGCTGCACAGTAGAGTCACCCAGTGAGGCTCGAAAATTTGCCAGACAGTTGTTCTGGGGTGGTCCTGGGGCAATGGTGTGCCTGAGAGCTCTCCAGGTAGTTCTAATGCACAGCCAGGGCTGTACGTCAATGATTGGCGCCCATAGTTGCTGTCTTAGGCTTCCCTACCTATAGCCTTGCCTTCCTGTCACGTCCTCTATTAACCTGCCAGAAGTATCTTTCTGTATGTCTACAGAGTCAAATTCAAACTTCTGAGCACAGCACAGAAGCCGCCATGATCTGCTCTTAATGCCTGACCAGCTGCCCTGCTCTGTCCACTCTAGCTCTACCAAACACTTGTTTTCAACATCGGCCTGCGCAATGACTCATCTCTTGCTCTGAAACGCTGTCCGTTGTTTATCTGGGTGGAAAAAAAACCGCATCTTCTCTATGAAGCCTTTCCTGACATCCTAACTGTCATTCCTCAGTCAGTGTTCTCAAAGCACAAGTGTATTGGGTTTTTTGTTTTTGTTTTATGACTAGTCACGCTGACCTGTCATTTTAGAACATATATCCCTCGCACCTTCATTAGACATTTCTGGACCAAAGACTATGTCACATTTGCCTCTGCATCCCCCAAACTTAGCACGATGCCTGGCACATAGGGCATTTTGTATTTGCTGAATAAATGAATAAAAGGCATTTTATACAGTTTCCACTTATGGTAGACAGACCCCAAGGGGACTCACACTGGGTCGACTAAAAAAGGGAAGCTTATACTAAATTTAAAAAAAAAATCTTGTTTTTATTTAATATTTGGTGAGAGTAATGACAATCACTTAAAAGGTTAGCCTTTGAATCAGGTTATGAGATGAATCTGAAACACGCTTTAAGTCAAAGAAAAACTTGAATTCAGTCCTCAAGAGCTGCTATCCTTTCATCAGCCTTCCAAACCATCCATTTTCAGAATCACAGCCAATATATACTCACCTTACGTTCTGGGAAGGGGAGGAAGCCCACTTAATGCCCACCACAAGTTGGCCTAATTTGGCTGCTCCCATCATGTGCTATCCAACCCACAACTCTGGTGAACATGCTTACTTTGTATTTGCTTTCTGATCTGGAAGGGGTGGGAATATGTCCTTTTTTCTTGAAGGTTGTAAAGTGCTTGCACTGAGGACAGGGCTTGGTGCTGGAATCAATACGACCGAGTTCCAAGAAGTACTTATATTTGATGGAGTCTTCATGAGTTAAGTTATAGATAACCGTTGTTTCTTCCAGGAATTCAAAACATTCTGTGATAGGGCATTTGATTTCTACTTGGCCAACTTGTACCTGTGTAAAAGAGCAGATGGGAGAGAAAGCAAAAGGCACTGGTTATTACATCTTTTTTTCTTTATTTAATGATTATAGTAAAGGATTATCTGTCATTTTTTCATGATTCCTAACATAATAAATGGTAGTCACTTTGTTCCCATATTAAGCAGTAACACAATCATTAATCAGTATATGTTTCCAAAATGAGTTAGAGTGTGTTTAAGGATTCTCTATTAATAAATTTGTGAACTTAAATGGGCCTAACCCATAGGCTCACAGAAGAAGCAAATTATCACCCCATCCTCTGGACAGGCCAGAGTGAGGCAGCATTTAGACAAGTCTGCCAGCCAAAGGACCAGCTAGGATGACAAGATATTTTAGATTTTTTAGCCTTACTACAGAGAACCTCAGCATTAAACTTAGAGCACATTTAACTACTTGAAAAGGACAAAAAAGAGATTTTGAAAGTACATATACATACAGTATTTGGTAATTTAAAAATCATTGCCAAAAATTAACTCTATTTTCCATGCAAAGAACATATGATAGTTCTTAATCAAACTCACAATAACACTAAAAAGTTAAACCAATCACAACAGCATAAAAAAAATCTTAATAAGATTTGGTACTACTTTGGTAATTTTTAAAATGAATTTCTTCAAAGGACCACAGAGTTAGATTAGGAGACAAGGAGGATTCGCTGGAATGCTACATTTAGCATCTGGTATGGGAGTCAGATATGGCTAGCACTAAAGATTACAATATAAGATCAAAGCACAAAGTGTGGATATAATTAAATTCTGAAATATAAAAAAAAATAAACTCCTTTGAAATAAGGAGTACCCAGAAAGTTCTCCATCAGTTGTGAACAATAACTCTTTATATTCATGGCATCATAATCTCTTTTGTTACGTAGCAAAGGGAGACAGTGATAGCTCTAAATGCTAAACAAGCTAAACCATTTCTTTTTCACTTGGGTGAACCCGACTCTCAATCTGAGAAGGAAAAACACATTGAACTTAATGAAAAAAAGTGTGCTGTGAAGACTGAGGGAAGAATGGAGTAAAGCTACACGGTTTGGGAAAAGAAAAACATCACTACCAAGAGCAATTTAAAAAATAAAAAAACCTAAACTCATAGTACTTTTTTTTTTTTTAACTTTGCTGTTTATCTGGCAGACTTGAGCCACAGGCCGAAGGATGCTTGCGAACAATATATTTAACACCAGTGGAGGACATGAGCCAAACTGATAATGAAATGAGTCAATGAGTCTGCCTTTAGATGAAACTCCTGATTAGCACCCACCTGTTCAAAGTGTAAATTGCTACATAATTTTATGCTACTATTGTACAAAACATGGTCCAGACAGGTGTCTCAAATATTTGCCCAAAGCAATTTTTCTACTTTTTTGGATGAGTCTTTCTATAGTTACAATCAGATTTTCTTATCACACTTGTTACAGAGCTATGATAAAGTTATTACACCCCAACTTATGTTTTATAGTAAATTATTTTCAGTTATTGCTCAAGACAAAGGTCCTCTGAAGATTTTTAAATAGACAAAAACTATGTGTGATATTATAAAAAAACTGGCTTAATAAAGCATATGACATTTTGAAAATGAATAAATGTTTCTACCTTCTCTTGACATTTATCAAGCACAATTTTGAGCTAGCTACTGGGTTAGGCATTGAAGCTTTGCAAGTGTTTATCAGTACAGTGGCTGTCACGATACAAGGTGACAGGCATGCCTGACAGGAGGAGTGCATGGTGTCAGGGAGGATATGGGGGGAGGCTCAGTAAGCCCACACTTGGGAGGTTCAGAAGAGGCTTCTTGGAAGAAGTGAGGCGTCAAGTGAGATCTGAAGATTAGTAGGACTTAGCCACACAAGGGTGAAGGTGTTTCAAGCAGACGGAAGACATGACGTGGGCAAAGGCCTGGAGGCCTTTAGAGAAAGACACTACAGCACACTACAGCAGAGACCCCTATTTCCCCACATCCCAGTTGAGACAAATGCATCCTAACTTAAAAGATGCAGCCTTAGAGGGACTGAAAGATGAGCAGTCAGGCTGGACCACAAAGTGTGAGGATAGAAAGTTAAAGCTGTACAGATGAACTGGGATCGGTGTACAAGGGCAGAGTGTGAAGCCTTCTTAGCAGTCTGGACGTTTTTCCTATAAGAATAGAAAACTTTGGTTTTTCATCATGTGAAAGATAATTTATTTTTATTCCACACAGAAGGGGCTTACTTTGGGCTATCTCAAGTGGCTCTTGTTTATCAGGGTACAGCATACGTTAGGGGGTAAGAGCTGGTATGTTTTACTCCCAGGTCAATGTTTTAACCTGGCCTCCCTCACCTATAGGTTTTTCTTTATTCTGACTACACAAACAACAACAATGGAAGCAGTAACTTCAAAGCCATTCAGGAACAGTCAGGTCTATAGAAATAGAATGTTGTTTAGGGATCAGAAGAATGTACGGCAACTTACTGGAACAGGTTATCTTGTCACCCCTTCAGCAGGGGTGTTCATCACCATGCCACATTAGGACACCTACCATCTGACACCCAACCAAGTACCCTGCCTTCTTCTTCAGTGTTTCTCAAATCTGCCTGCAAATCTATTCCATTTCCATAGAACACACAGTTTCCTATGCTTTCCCTCTCTCTGCATTTTGCCTATCCCATACCTTCTTTATGAAAGCTCCAAAATCCCTACCCCACTACACTGAGCCAAATGGTCTCATATTTTATTAAACACATAGAAGCACTATGATAATATTCCCTCATCTTCCCATTGCTAGCTCTCCCCACCCATGTCTGTTCATCTTTTCTGTCTTCTCTCTTTTTATAGTACAGGGCCTAAATCTACTTTCATGAGTCTCTTGAAGTGTTTGCTGAGAATTCAAGTTTACTGGCCCACCCGGGGTCTACAAAATTTTCATCACTGCTGATAAGCTAGTCATTGGCAGTTTGGAACAATTACTCATATACTCCTTTGAATTACTCATACTTTTTTTTTTTTTAAAGATTTTATTGGGAAATTGGGGAGGGGAACAATGCTGGGGAATTGAGGGAAGGGGAACAGACAAGTTGCTGTCATTTTGTTCTTCAGTCTAGTTGTGGAGGACGTTGCTTCACTGGCCCATGTTGGTATTATCATTGTGCTCTTCCAGGGACAGGCTGATCGGTCGCTGGCCTCTGGACAGCCACTCATGGCAGGTCTTGGCAATTCACACCAGCTGCCAACCACTCATGCTGGTTGCCAGCCACTCACGGTAGCTTGTAGCAGCCCACTGCAGCAGGGGCTGCAGCCTACGCCGTCACCGGCAATTCACGGCAGCCCAGCTCCAGGTCGAGCTGTTGTTCACTGTCTTAGCTGTAGAGGTCAGCTTCATTGGTCCCCATGTGGGATCCAAACCAGGGCCCTGCTGCTCAGAGCTGGAGTCCCAAGCCAGCTCTTAACCAACGCACCACTCGGCCAGCCCTCATACTTCTTCATATTAGCAATATCCCCCTTTTCATAATAAAATGCGACTCATGGCCTATGCAATTTCTTGGCCTCTATGTGTCTATCTTTCTCAGAATAATTTCCTGAAAAGATCACTAGCAAACAAGTCATCATGATTAAGCAAAGTACATTCATTCATTTACTCAACAAGATATGCATTTCATCAATTAAAGCATGTATTTTTTTCAACAACTTAATATCTCAAAAGTCAAGATTATCTTACAATCGATGGTCATTAGTATTGTGTCATAGTTTAATTTGCAGTATTTTTATTTTCTTGGTGGCTCATAATATAATACTGAATCCTACAATTGATTACATCTTAGATTTCAATGAAATGTGGTTTTTATGGGTTAGGCCCTGGGATGGACTCTGGTGAGATGATGAAAGAGACACAATGCTTCTATTGGAGGAAATGTATGCTAAACAACTAAACAAACCAGGCAGATTGTAATCAGTGTTATGAAAGAACCAAACATCAGAGACGGTATCTCTGAGGAGATGACAACTTGAACTGAGAACAAAAAGGGCCTGTCATGCAGATAACTTGGGGGATGAGACTGCAGGTAAAGGAAACAAGGACCATGGCCCCAAGGCATAAGGTGCCTGTGTTCAGATAACAGAGCCCTGAAACACTAAATGGGCCACAACACACAGGCCTTGTTGGCTGTGATAAGTGTGGCTTGGATTCTAAGTTCAATTTGAAGCACTGACGGGTTTTATGAGGAGTCACAAATCCTAATTTATATTAAAAAGATCATTGAGGGGCGGGCCGAGTGGTGCGATGGTTAAGAGCTGGCTTGGGACGCCAGAGGGCCCCAGTTCAGATCCCACATATGAGGACCAGTGACACTGCCCTCTACAGCTAAGATGCTCAACCTGGAGCTGGGCTGCCATGTGTCGCCGGTGACCGCGTAGGCTGCAGCCCCTGCTGCAGTGGGTTGCCATGGGCTACTGTGTGGCCAGCATGAGCGGCCAGCAGCCGCAGTGAGCGGCCCTCCAGAAGCTGGCGACTGATCTGCCTCGCCCAGGAAGAGTGCAATGATGGTGCCAACTTGGGCCAGCGAAGCAACGTCCTCCACAACTAGACTGAAGAACAAAAGGACAGCAATTTGTATGTTCCCCTTCCCCCAATTCCCCAGCGCTGTTCCCATCCCTCCAATTTCCCCATAAAAATCTTTAAAAAAAAAAAATCATTCAGGTTCTTCCTGGAGGACGTGCTGTAGAAAAACAAAAGTGGAGACTGGGAGAACAGTAGGACTCTGGATTGTACCCGTTCTTCCTATCAGTGGCTCTGCTTCCAGCAGTTGTCCAGGCAGTAGGTGATAAATGAACTAAGTGAGTAAGTAGCAAGGGGTAGGCAGATATAGGGTACATTTTGGAAGTGCAACCAATGGGGTTTGGCGATGGACCAGATATGGAGGATGAAGTAAAGGAAGAAACCAAGAAAGACTCTAGGTTTTTGGCTTGAAATAATCTGATGACAGATGGGTGCTGAGTACTGAGAAG